CCGAAGGGAGGTGACAGCTCCCGTAAGGTGTAGGTAGTCGTGCCTCGCGTAGGCCCTATCCTGTCGTAGGGGCTCGCGAGAGGTATGGCTGGCGCACCTGGCCGGAGCGGCTTGTGGAAGCTCCATGCATTTTTTTTGCGACGAAGGATTGAAAACCAACTCCTGCGTGACGCGGCCGGGAGGGTCCCGCGCTGCCCCGTGCGGTGCCGGACCGATTGCGCCCGACAGCGCAGCGAGGCCAAGATCGTGGTATGCCGCAGCGGATTGACCGAGCTGATGTCGCCGGTGAATCCCGCCACTGTGGTGATGTGGCTCGTTCTGGGACCCGCTCACCGATGAACTGCGGTAACCTCCGCAAACACTATTGCGTGAGGACTTCCTTCGATTCGAAACGTGGCGGCGGCACAGATACCTTCGTCGTAGAAGAATCGCATTAAACGCCGAAGATCCGTATTGAGCCGAGGGTGACAAACTTGCCAAATCTCAGAGATGTGGCCACGTGGCTGCAACAGCTGAATGTCAAGAACCCGCTCCGTGATAAAACTCATTGCGAGGTCGCAGAGGAGGACGAGGGACAAGAGGGAGAAAGACGGGAGAAAGTTAGATCGTCGTCGTTCTCCTCGCTTTCCGAGGAAGAAGAGGGAGGACGGTCGGAAGGAGGAAGAAGACGGAGGTAGGAGGTATGTCGGACGATGGGGACAGAGCTATGGCTGGCACTCGCCTCGGGCGCGACGCGCACCGTGTTAGCGCCGTTGGGTCCGAGTTCGACAACACGAAAACAGCCTGAGTACTTGGGAGCGAGTTTCCGGTCGCGTGCATATTTACATACCTGCACTAGGTCCCCTAATTTATATTGGTACTGGGGCCCAGCATTTCCATTCCGGGCCTCGTAGCTACGGACCTGTCTACCGTGGGCCAGCTCGGTCATCCTTTGTCTTTTTCGGGCTAGCTTCGGAACGACCCGTTCCATCAAATCAGCGTACCTTTTGGCCTTGGCCTTGAGGGCCGCACACGTGTCTCTACCCCCTGCTTCAACAATTTCCGAGTTGCCCCGGTAATCGACACAAGGGAGCCTATTAGTTCAAAGCTGAAAGGGGGTAAACCCCGTAGACTCATGACCGGTGGCCCGGTGGATCCCGACAATCTGATACACGATTTCGGGCCAAGGACGCGTGTCGTGTGCCGCTAAGTTCCTGCGAAGGGCGGTTTTAATCATACGGTTGGCATTCTCGGCCAACTCGTTCGACTGGGACACGTGGGATGCCGTATGTCGGAGTGTGACGCCCCTTCGCGCAAGTAGTTCTTCTACCTCACCTTTAAATTCAGATCCATTGTCGGTTAGAATTTCTTCCGTATCTAGATGGGTATAGAGGAACC